AGCAGGGAGCCCGATGCGGGACTCGATCCCGGGACTCCAGGATCATGACCTGAGCCGAAGGCAGCCGCTTAACCAACTGAGCCACCCAGGCGCCCCAACAACTGGCCATCTTTATCACAAAATGATTTCTGCTGAAATAGAATAGCTCCTGTAGATGTCTTTAAGAAGATTTTAAGCAGGGCCGTAACAACATACCAGAGCCAGGTGCAAAATATACCCTTAAGTCAATGAATTAACCTAACCAATGCAGGTATTTGGTGATATCTGGTATATGGTAATGAAAATAACCATTTGGGGTTGAGCACAGCTAATTCAGACCTGTGCAAGGACAAGCGATCAGTTGCTGAAGTACACTCTTGAACTGGATTAATAGACCCATTTCATTAAATAGAGGAGAATGATTACCTTCCTACATGCTATGGCAAATTCACAAGTGCCTAGTTCATCAAAAGATAGTACAGTTCCATTTTAACTTTAAATATGCTTTAATTTTATAAAATAAGATAAAAACAGAGAGGGAGGCAAACCATAAGAGACTCTTAAATATAGAGAACAACCAGGTTTGCTGGAGGGGACCGGCTAGGTGGGGGATGGGCATTAAGGAGGGCACTTGTTGGGATGAGCACTGTGTGTTTTATGTAAGTGATGAATCACTAAATTCTATTTCTGAAAGCAATACTACACTATATGTTAACTAACCTGAATTAAAAAAAGAATAAACTAGTCAGAAAATAAAAATAAACAAATAAATATGCTTTAATTTTAAGTACAGACCATATGGTAACTCTGTGTTTAACAATTTGAATCAGTGCTGTTTCCCAAATTTTATTTTAAATTAGGTAAATTATAAAGAAAATGAGTTGTTAAAATATAATTTTGTAAGGATATATGCAATGACAAAAGACTTGGCCTCTGACTTTAAAGAATTTACAGACCAGTGGAGTAAACAGACAAAAAGTACACTAACAAATGAATGTGGAACCATTATGCTAACTGCAAAGAATAGTAAGTGAGTAAAAAAGAGTAATTGGGAAGCTTAACATAATTCAGGAAGACCACTCTTAGCATTACAGGTGGAAGGCATGTGTATGATTGCCCTCAAGGGAAAAGCTTGAGAACCTTAAAGGCCAATGAGGCTGGAGACTGGTAGGCAAAAAAGAGAAGGCACCAGCTCAAACAAGACACAGGAGCCATATCTAACAGACTTTCTAAAGTGCAACGAGGAACCACTGCAGAGTTTCAGGCAAAGTACTGACTCGATCAAATTAAATGATTACTCTGGCTTCTGTGTGAAAACTGGGGGATGACGAGTGAAATGGTCCAAGAATGAAAGCACGTGTTGTCAGAATAGGTGTAATTACACTGAGAGCAGATAAGTAAAGGAAATCCTCCTCCTAACTCCACCAAATGTAGATGAGAACGGGAATTCCAACTGCACTGAGAGGAAACACGCTTTCAATTTAGAAACCAAGCCTATGAGAAATTAACATAATCAAACTTCAAGAGCTCCCAATTAAGTGGATTTTCTTAAACTAGAAACTGAACTATTGGCAATTCCTGCTATCCAAATCACCTCCAGCAGTATCATTTTGCTGACGAACATGTTTTCTTGGGATAAATTTTCACCCCTTTCAAACACGTAAGTTAGCGGAGAAAAGATGAGAACTAGCGAACAGGATGTTGAAAAGAGAATGGTGAACAGTGAGTGATCCCAAAGATCCAATCACCAGGAAAGTACTTGCAAGCAACCTCATTTGGGTAAAAGAAAGAAGGAAAAACTGAACAGCCTAATTTCTTACTTATATTCTTCCTCCCTGGCAAGGAGGTCCGGTCGAGACGCAACAGGTTGCTGAACTCGCGGCGGGACCGGAGTGCCTGAAACGTTCCGTCTCTGTAAAAGAGAAAGAGACTTTCAGACCCGAAGTTAAATGAGGTTTCGCGTTCTCTGGCCGGCTGAGAAGCTAGTCGCCACCCCGGAGTCTGTTTGAACTAACCCGGGAACCAACACTTCGCCCCGCCATCTTTCGCGACCACGACGCCGTTACCGAGGCAACGAACGCATCTTCCCGCGAGAGTTACCGCATCCCGTACAGCATAGCGCCCTGAGCGCAGACTCCGTGCACTCCTGGGCTCTCCGCGGACAGCGGCCTGAGGCTGGGGTGGGGCTTGAGGGCTGAGGAGGGGGCGGGCCGCAGCTCTAAGTGTGGGCCGAAAGGGTGACCCCCGCTCTGAACTGCCCCAGTAGCCAGAGGAGCCAACCTACTGCGTTGATTTATAAATTCTTAAGTTGGGGTCGGAAAGGTTTCGACCAAGGAAGGCAGGTCCGTTTCTAAAACTCAGTAAGAAGCAAGCTAGGAGAGCCCCTACTCTTGTGCTTTTCCAAACTTACTGGCCACTTCGACCTCCACCTGTTTTTTTTTTTTTTAAATGAACTCTTCGTTGGAATTCTAAGTTCTAATTTCTCATCTTTATTTATAGCATGATTAAAGCCTCGGTCTCTCAAATCAGTCAGCCTAAGTTCAGGTCCTGGCTCTGCCACTTACTAGTTGTATGGTCTGGGTAAATCACTCTGTATCTTGGCTACTTCACCTATAAAATGGGAGTAAGAATAGTGCCCATCTCATAGAGTTACTATGAGAAGTGAATTCGTGAGTAGGATTGTGGCTGAAACAGTAAGTAGTTAAATTTCCCAACCCTTCTGGAATAAAATTAAAAGAGTTCAGAAATAAACCTTCACATTTAGGGTGTTAGCCTTAAAAAAAAAAAAAACCAAAAAACTGCCAGTTATTTTACCAGCAAAAATGGGTTTATTTGGGAATAGCAGAGAATTGCAATCTGGAACAAGCAAGCTGCAGCAGAACCATAGGCAAGCCCACAGAACAAACGCGAGAACTGCTCTTATACAGGAAATGGGGATGTTGGGAAAGCTGTTACAAACAACAGTCCATTGAAATAAACTGGGAGTTTGAAGTATACTGGCTTTCCATTGGCTGAGCTGTGACAGTCTCTTATTGGCTGAGTTGTGACTGTCTCTTATTGGCTGGGCTGTTGCCAGGGTATGAGGAACACCCTTCTTCCTCCTCCTGGGATAATAAAGTGTATCCATGTGCAAGTCTGTCTCTTCCTGTTGGATTTGTTAATTGTCAAGTAGTAGAGATTGAGAGCGCCCCCTACTGGGCTCCTGACTCCATTCTAAGCCAAGTTTCCTTTTATAATTTTCACAAGGGTCAACGTTTGGCAAGGGTGCCAAGACCATTCAGAGAGGGAAAGAATAGTCTTTTCAACAAGTGGTACTGGGATGAGTGGATATGCACATGCAAAAGAATGAAATTGTACCCTTACTTCACACTGGGTATAACAATTAAACTGAATCAAAGACCTAATCTTAAGAGATAAAACTATAAAGCTCTTCAAAGAAACCATAGGTGAAAATCTTCATCGCCTTGAATTAAGAATGATCTCTTAGATATAACACAAAAAACAAGCCACAAATGAAAAATCAATAAACTGAACATCATCAAATCAAAAACATTTTGTTTCAAAGGATACCATAAATAAAATGAAAGATGAACAATAACAAGAGTTGAGGGAAATGTGGAGAAATTCAAATCCTCATACACTGTTGGTGGGAATATAAAATTGTGCAACCACTGCGGAAAATGGCCTGGCAGTTGCACTTAGAGTTACCATATGATCTAGCAACCTACTTCTAGGTATATACCCAAGAAAAATGAAATACATACCTTCACAGAAAGTAGTACACAAATATTTATATAGCAGCATTATTCAGAATATGTAAGGTAATCCAAAAAGTAACCCAAATGATCATAAACTGATTAATGGGCAAATAAAAGTGGTATAATCATACAATGGAATATTATTCAGCACCAAAAAAGAGTAAAGTACTGATACATACTATAATATGGATGAATCTTGAAAACATGAAATGTGAAAGAAGCAATTCACAAAAGACCAAGTATTATATGATTCCATTCCAATATGACCACATATATGAAATGTCCAGAATAGGAAAATACATACAGACAAAAAGTAGATTACTGGTTGCCTAGTTTGAGAGATGATGGCAGATTGGCTAAGGGATTGCAAGGTTTTTTGTGGGGGTAATGTAAATGTACTAAAATTGATTGTGATGATGGTTGCAAACCTTGTTGACTATATTAAAAGCCAATGAATAGTAAACTTTATATGGGTGAATGGTAGGTATGTGAAATACATCAATCAAGTTGTTAAAACATTAAAAAAATAAATTATTAAAATGAAAAGTTCAAGTGACAAAGAAATGTACACCATACTAATGCTAATCAAAAGAGAGTTGGAGTAGCTATATAAATTTCAAGCAAAGCTGACTTCAGAACAAGGAAAATTATCAGCAACAAAGAAAAGCATTACATAATGATAAAGAGGTTAACACTCCGTGGAGACACAACAATCCTTAATATGTATGCACCAAACAATTTAGTGTTAAAATACATGAGGCAAAACCTAAAAGGACTGCAAAGAGATAAAGATAAATCCACTAATATATTTGGAGATTATGATAACCCCTTTCAATAACTGATAGTTTCAACAGGCAGAAAATCAGTAAGGATATAATTGTCCTGAATAGCACTATCAATCTTCTTGATTTAATTGACATTTAGAGAATACTCCAACAACAACAGAATACACATTCTTCTCAATGTCACATAAAACATTCACCAAAATAGACCACATTCTGGGCCATAAAATGCATATTAATAAATTTAATAGAATTTATATTAGTTTCCTAGAGCTGCTGTAATAAAGTATCACAAACTGGGCAGCTTAACACAGGAGAGATTTATTGTCTCACAGTTCTAGAGGATAGAAGTCCAAAAAGGTGTTGGCAGGGCCGTGTTCTTTTTGAAACCTGTGGGGGAGAATCCTTCCTTGCCTCTTCCTAGCTTCTGGTGGTTGCCGTCACTCTTTGGCATTCTTTGGGTTGCAGGTGCATCACTTTAATCTCTGCCGCTGTAATCACACAGTGTTCTCCCCAAGTGTCTCTGTCTTCACATTTCTTCTCATAAAGACTGTCATCATATTGGCCAAGCACACTGTCTCATGTCAATCTCAGCCTACCAATTGTGATGCTATTGGCTAGGAATGCCTGGGGGTACTCACCCCAGGCTTGTGGCAAGCCCCCACAGACATGGGAAGTGTGGTTTAGGACTTCAACATATCTTTTGAGGGGACACAAGTCAATCTATAACAGGATCATACCAACTATGTTCTCAGCCCACAATAGAATTAAACTAGAAATCAATAACAGAAAAGTTGCTGGAAAATCTCAAAATATTTAGAGATAGGGCGCCTGGGTGGCTCAGTTGGTTAAGCGACTGCCTTCGGCTCAGGTCATGATCCTGGAGTCCCAGGATCGAGTCCCGCATCGGGCTCCCTGCTCGGCGGGGAGTCTGCTTCTCCTCTCCCACTCCCCGTTTGTGTTCCCTCTCTCGCTGTGTCTTTCTCTGTCAAATAAATAAAATCTTTAAAAAAAAAATTAAAAAAAATATTTAGAGATAAAACACACACTTCTAAATAATACATGAGTCAAAGAAGCCTCAAGAGAAACTTAAAAAAACATTTTGAACTAAATGAAAATATCTTATCGACATTTGTTGGATACAGCAAAAATAGTGCTTAGAATACTCAGCATTAAGTGCATATATTAGAGAAGAAGAAAAACCTAAAATTGACAATGTAAGGTTCCACCTTAGGCAATGAAAGAAAGAAGAGCAATTTAAGCTTAAAGAGAGAAAAAAAGAAATAAAAATGGAATTGAAAACAGGAAAACAATAGACAAAATCACAGAAACCAAAAATCTGGTTTTTTGGAAAGATTAATAAAATCAATGAACTTCTAGCCATGGTAACCAAACAAAAAGAAAGAAGACATAAAATTACCTATTCTGTGCTATTTTATGCGATGATCAGTCAGGTATGACCACAAGCAGAGATACAGGAGAGAAACAGGAGGCATAGCATGCCACACAAAACTACATAGGAAAGCCTTAGGTGGTAAGAAGACAGAAAACAGAAGCAAGGGAAAACCTAGGCTAGAACTTTTTTGGGGGTTTCTACAGAAAAGGCAAGGCAGTTTAGGATTGGCTAGTTTGAATAATTTCAGCAGGCTTTGGGGCATAGGGGCTGTCCCTAGTTGCGTGGAATCTGGTCCTGGAACAATTAAGGCAGAGGAATACTGCCTCCTGGGGTGTACAGGACGGGTAAAGGAGATATGACTCTGGATTGGTAAGTTTGCATACCAGAGGCATGCTTCTGGCTGAGCCCTTTGCTATCTCTGAAAATTGGCTAGCCTCAGGAAAGACAGTCTCTCACCAGGCAGAAAGATTTTTTTAAAATGTCATAATCCACAGAAAAATTAAAAATATAAGCAATACAATACCAGGATCAGAAATGGAAAAGGGATCATCATTAATTATCTCATGAAATTAAAAGAATAATAAAAGAATACTATAAACAACTCTATATCCAGAGACTTGATAAATCAGATGAAATGGACCAATTCCTTGAAAGATGCAAACTACCAAAATTCACACAAAGAGAAACGGATAATCTGAATAGTCAAGGACTGAGTCAATAACCTTCTGAGAAAGAGCACCAGGCACAGATGGTTTGATTGGTGAATTCTACCAAATGTTTAAAGAAGAAATGGTACCAATTCTCCACAATGTCTTCTAGAAAATAGAAATAGAGGGAACACTTCTAATTCATTCTATTAGTCCAGCATTACCTTAATAGTGAAAGCAGTTTAACACATTATAAGAAGAGAAAACAATGCACTGATATCTCTCATGAACATAGATGCAAATATCTTCAACAAATATTAGCAAATAGAATCCAACAATGTACAAAAAGAATTACACAACACAACCAAGTGGGGGATTTATTCCAGGTATGCAATAATGATTCAACATTCTAAACCTGATGTAATTCAGCACATAAAAAAGATAAAGAAGAAAAATCACATGATCATAAATATTGATGCA